ACATTTTCAAATTAATTTTCTTTGCAGGGACTGTACGTGTGATACATCCTTAAGTGAATTAATGTGAAGTAAAATGCTACTTTAAAGTCGCATCGTTTGTTGCAATTTGATTCGTGATATCTATTACGATATCTTGCGACACGTCGTTTAAATCTTGCGACGTATCTGCCTACGGAAAAAAAACAGTGATGCAATCGAAAGAAGAACTATTAATCTAACTTATTGTTATCTCTGTCTCTTGAGTAAGGCTTTCATGCAAATTATACGGCAACCACCATCGAACAAATCCGCTAACAAATTCTTGGGATATTGCCAAACACGTTTTTCACATAGAATTAAAAAACTATCTGAACGCTTTATCGGTCTATTGATAATAATACCGATAAAAATAAATTCAGGATTTGTCTACTTACAAGGAAAGGGACGCAACTGTCCTCCTTCGATCTTAATAAGCTTTTAATATGTTATTCTCCAGATAAAAATAAGCGACACGTATTTTTTATACTTACCCATACACTTTTAGGGGGTGAAACACCCTTTAGAAGAAAATCGGTTTTTCTCTTTCGAAGCGAATATCGCCAGAACTGTAAGAAATAGAAAAAAAATTTCATAATGAAAATTGAATGGCATTAAGAATACTTTAGAAATATTGTATAATTATAAAGAAAAAAAAAATTTTTTCTTTACAAATAAATAATTAAAAAAAAATTTTTTTATAATTTTTTAAAGTACTCTTGAAGCCATTCAATTTTTATTATGAAAATTTTTTTCTATCTCTTACAATTCTGGCGATATTCGAAAGAGAAAAACCGATTTTCTTCTAAAGGGTGTTTCACCCCCTAAAAGTGCGTGTGGGCACGTATAAAAAAATACGTGTCTCTTATTTTTATCTGGAGAATAACATATTAATAGCTCATTAAAATCAGAGGGGGACAGTTGCGTCTCTTTCCTTGTTAGTGAATTTTATGTCATAATAGTAGTCTAGAATGGCAGTAAAGTAATTAAATTTTTTGAAGTTATGATAATCCAATTTTAAGAATGCGAGACACCTCCTCTAATCGTTATAAGCCACTTCAAAATATAACTAAGAGGAAGAGACACGGCTTCCTATTTCGACAATTGCACAGAATCAGGAATCATTGCGATTATACCGAACGAATGATTAGACCCATCGCAGAAACCTGCGGTTTTATTATTAACCGTAATTACAGTTATACGATCGCACCAAAACTCCCCGAATAACGAATATTGCGTACTCCAATCATCGTCCCGTCGGGACTGAATTGGACGCTATAAAACCATGGTTGTCGAGATGAACCATCTCAGTTTCGCGAACGATCGTACAATTTTATCGAATTTCTAATGATCCGTAAGGTTGGTACAAATTCTTCGCGGAAGCATTTTGTAGAATTTTCATTAAAATTCTGCGAAGGATTTTGCGTAAATCGGCAAACGAGATAAAGAGTTAATTAATTTTTTCTTGTAGTAAGAAAAGCGTCCCTTTATCATAATAATTACAGCTAAATTATTTATTTATCATTTTGCATCGAATCTATATCATTATATCGAATGGTGCGCAAGACGCGTTCGCATCAGCGCAACGGTGCGAAATCGTTTTCGCATTAATTCGTTACGTCAGAGCCTTTCTTTTTCAACAATACGTGTACAAGTTTCCGTGTTCTTCTTTCGCACAGGCGGCACTATTAGCGATGTTTCTAGTAGGAGTTCGGAACGAACCTCAAGGTCCGGCCTATCTTCCACCTGGTCATCGTACTGGAGGAGGCGGGACCGGTCATCCGGACGATTGGGCCGGTGTAAGTATGTATTTATTATGTAAATACATATCTTCAAGAAAAAAAAGAAATAGAACAGAAATTTAGACTGGATGATGACTTAGGCTCAGTTTCACGATTAACGTTTAACCGAAGTTCAACTTATTTCTCATCTCTTTTCAATTCTAGCGTAAGAAAGAGATGAGGAATGAGTTGAACCTCGGTTAAGAGTTTTAACCATGAGTTGTGAAACTGGATTAGTGCAGGGTCGTTTACTAAAATATTTATAATTTCATTGGTCAACTTAGTAACACTTTCTCACTTTTGTAATTTTCACTTCGTTTTAAAATACACGATCAATCACCTGGTCTCGCTATTATTAGACGTGTCGTTCTTATCGAAACCGATGTATCAGGATCCAGTGAACTATGAATTTTCGTACGAGGTCCAGGACGCGGATACAGGTCTGGACTTTGGGCATCGCGAGATGAGGAAGGATATGGAGGCCACGGGGACCTATCATGTGCTGCTGCCGGATGGTAGGACCCAGATCGTCGAATATATCGCCGATCAGAACGGATATCGGCCGATAATACGATACGAAGGAACCGCCTCTTATCCCGCTCCAGGACCGTCGCAAGAGGGTTACAAATATTAGAGCCCTGACTCTTTTTTGCAATTAAGTACCGATCTTTAGCGCATTACAAGGATCGATTAAATATTATATATTCTTGAACAGGGATCGGCGTTTTCTATAAACCTTTTCTATAAAGAACCAAAGAATATCTTGGGCTTTGCGGGTCAAGAAGCGAAATCAAAGATTATGTAGATATTTGTGCTAAAGAAGAAAACAAATATCCATGATTTTTTTATTGACAAAATTCAATATATAATAATAACTTCAGAGTTTTTCAAGATCTAAGAGCCGACCTCTGCTCTTAGGTCTGGTCCTGCAATGTAAGTTTAACTCAATTTAATTCACTTTTTATCTTTTTCTAATTTTAAGAATTAGAAAAAGATAAAGAGTAAGTTAAACTGAGATTAAAGTTAAACTTACATTGATGGAACCGGACCTTAAAGACGATTATACGATAAACATGATCGTGATCCATTCGTGGACTTATCGAATATTAGTAGTATTAGGACAAATACTGTTATACGCTCGAGTAACGTAAGAGGATGACTTTTTGTTTAGGAAGATCAAAATAATACAATTTAGCGAAACGTTCGCCGTGACTGTGACAACCACGATCTGTAATGTGTAATAAATAATTTGACAAAGAAATATAATAAAACCTCTCTCTCCTTGCTCTCTTTGATGTCCGATATCCAGCAAACGTTTCGCTGCAAGCAGACAATGCAAGCGAACTTCAATAAACTATACAACATTATTAGGATAAACCCGGTATATACGCCGCATCTAAGAGAAATTTAATTTATCAAGTACTATTTACCATGTTTAAAGCAAGTAAACTATACCAGTAAAAACTTCATACTTTTTACTATTATAAAAAAATATTAAGAATCCGAAATATTAATTTTTCATACTAAAATATAAACTTTTTGAAACCCTTGCATTTTCGCCATATATCCCATAGGGGTGGGATATATGGCTACTCATAAGGGGAAGCAGGGGGTAATAATGCATATAAATAAGACGTAAAATGACACAATAACTTATAAAGTGAGTTTATAATGTTTTATTAAGGAATAAAAATGATAAATATGTATATGAAGTAATAAATAATAATTACAATCTTCCTATATATATTAGAAGTGTTATGACAAGAGGTACATATTTCATGTAATATTTCATGCGTTTATTGCATTTAGTGCACTGATTTCAATCTGCGCACTTTGTATGCTTTGGGCAAAAATCCCGCCCGCTAAAAATGCCGTATATTCCAAACAGGTGGGATACACAAGACAACAAACTAAACAAAGAATACGAAAGCAAAGCACTCGTATTTTGCTATACAACGTACTTTACTTATTCCTCTATATGTATCACGAAATAATTACTAGGTCTTTTACACGCCCTACAGTAATCATTTTATGTAGATTATAATTAATTGATGGCGCTACTTATTACAGTGACAAATTGATTCAACTCATAATAATTTCATTAATATTAATAGTAAGAGAGAGAAGCTGAAATTATAACTCTTCTGAAATTATAATACTAATATAACATAAAGGTATGTAATAACAGAGTAGTTATGAGAAAATTACCCCCACCTCTTCTATTTTTTCTGACTTCTACGGCGTAAATCCCAGTGCACCGTATTTGTCGGGTTTACCCTATATATATAATTTCAAAAAGCCAATCGAAGTTCCAATCTGGATTGAAATTCTGGAGGCGCATAGACTGGGAATTGAGAATGTCATATAAAATAAAATAAAATAGCTTTGTGGCTCCAAAAATAAATCAAGTATTGTTCATTTATATGTATATAATTCTTTCTTGGAGAGACCCACAATATTATTTTTATTTAGAGACAAATTAATGATACGATAGGCAATCGATTTGTAGGCAAAAGAAGCCATTTCCGTCAGGAACAAAAAAATGGAGAGTTTCAGAGAGAACGCGGGGGCATTTTGCAGTTACAGGAAAAAACTCCTCATGTCCTCTCTCAAGTTTCTCTCTAGTTCTGTTCATGATTGCGCTTCAAGATCAAAAAAGATTTCGGCGCGCGATTTGCAGATTTAAATTATGTATACAAATTCACTTTAAAATATTTAAACACCTAATGCGGGGTCTACAATAGAAGTCGTAGCGGTCGTAAGGGCTTAAGTCGTAGAAAATTGACCAATCACAGTTGATTATTCTTCTCATATTCGACTGTGATTAATCAATTTTCTACGATTTAACACCCTACGACTGCTACGACTTCTATTGTAGACCCCGCATAAGATCCGCTTTGACCAAAAATAAGTTTATTTGTTTCAATTAAAAAAAAAAAAAAGAAAACTTGATTTTTAAAAACAGAACATCGTCCTTAGGCATCGAAGTAATATAAAGGAAAATGCAGAATCTAGACAAATTAAGCATTGTTAATCATAAGTTATCTGATAATCGCGAACAGTCGTTCCAATAATTAAGGTCCGCAAATTGATATATTGCCGCGTAAAAAATTCCGCCATTTGCAATTGCAACACCGTGACCAAAAATCGCGCGTGAGTGCGCCATCTCGGTATCAATCTCAGTATTCCCAGTTCGAAGTTTCCAGAATACTCGAGCATGCTCCTCGGCTTGCACGCCAACTCGGTTAGCGTCAGATTCGTTTCACGGCAGTCTGAAGTTCTGGAGATTCCGTGGCGATTCGCGAGCGGATCGGTATTATTAGTCGGCATTGTTGACTTTGACAGCGGGTTCTGTCGTCGTCCCACGATAAACCGCCGCGCGAAGCATCACCTCGTAAGCGCAAACGGGACACTTGCATTTTATGAGCGAGCCGTCACGTTAAACTCGGAACGCTTGCTAACCGCAGTTCGTAGGACGACTCATAAGTAAGTAATGCGTGTTTGCCGAAAAAAAATCCCGATGGATCCCTTTCATTAATGGACGCTCATCGACGTGATGATCGCCTCGTTACCGTTTAAAATATAGGTTATGTTACGCAGGCGAGTTCCAGTTGCTGTTCCGGAAAACCGAGTTTTCTAGAAGGTTAGCTCAGCGGTCTCGTTACCTCCATCAGTTTTGCGAATTGGAAATTGCCTTGAGCTCCAGCTCCAGTGTGCTTGGCTTGGAACGTTATTGTTATACCCTCGACAATCACTTGGCAGCATGGCAAAATGGGGTGAAGGCGACCCACGCTGGATTGTGGAAGAGAGACCTGACGCAACAAATGTTAATAATTGGCATTGGTATGTTGCTCCACATAATCGTGCTAATTGGGATATCTTTAAGTCGACAATTCGCTCCTAATAATGTATATCAGCGTTTGATTGTTTCTCAAAGTGCTGATATTCTTTTTACACTTTTTAATGTACTGAAATTATTCTATAGGACGGAGAAGAATGCCTGTGTATGGTCACAAGAAAAGTTGAAAGAATTTTTTGTAAATTCCAAAATTGAGGGAGAGGGAGGTTGGTATCACGTATTTATAAATTGGAAATTTGGAAAAGATATATACAGAATGTCTCATTTTAATTGCATCAGGTAAATATCTTAAAAAATGTGACATGAAAAAAATATTTCAGAGGAACTATTTTGAGGGGAATGTTTTTGGTTATGTTACTGATTTTTTTTTTAGTTAATATGATTCCTCTAATTCTGCATACAAAAGTATTGAGGTAGAGATATCAAATAACTCTGAAAAATGGATTATTTTTTAAATGAGCAATTGTGTTTTCTTTACATCAATTAATTTATTTCAGTTTTCTGTTCACAAAAGTATTAATGCACGATTATCAAAAAATCAATAGATATTAATAGATATTAATTAATAAATAAAGATATTTAATGTTAATATGTACCAGAATATACTATAAAATATCTTGTTAACTATTACTTTTTGGTATCTCTATCTTAATACTTTTATATGCAGAATAATTAGTGGAATTATATTATGTAATAAAATTATATAATTTCATATAAAAAAGTAAAGGTGATCTTCATACGTTTTTAGCACTTCTACCTAGAAAAAAGCAACGTGACCAAAATATATTCTTGAAACCATTCTGCTTTTATCTAATACGTTTTATCGTATCTTATGTATTTTTCAAGATATTTGTCTGGGACAATTAAAATGGAACACTATACTATGTCTTGAAATTGCTATATCCTTAAATCTTGTTCAATTTGTAGTGTCATGTAAAATAACAGAAATGGAAAAGTGTGAAGGTGAGGCAATAGTGAATAATAGAAAAGGGAAACTTATTTTCTTTTATGAATGGAATATTGTTCTTAAGTGGATATTAGATGGAGAATCCAGTAAAGACATTGAGGGTAAAATTAATATTCCTAATCTCTCTGAAGAAAATGATATTAGTGAAATAGATGTAAGTATTTTTAATTGAATTATATAATTATTAAATTAGGCAATCTGGTTCAAACTATTATTTGTTTTATTTCAACATTGGCTTCTTAATCAGTAATCATTTTCCTTTGATATTTAGTATATTACTAAATTGCTATGCAAGAATGTAAATAGACACGTATCTTGTAATTTGTAGATTGAAATTACATTAAAAGATAGTACAGATGAAGGGGAGAAAGTTAAACAATTCTTACATACTAAGGGTAAAGATGCAATAAGAGAAAAATTAAAGAAATATGTATCTTCTCTGAAAGAAGGTAAGTTAATTTCCTAACTTGTGATGTGAATTGTTCATTATATTAAAAAAAATATATAGCATTTGTAATCCATCTTTTTTATTTGCAGAGTTTGCGAAAGGAATGATACTTCCCAAAAAAGATAACGATAAAGAAAAGGAAAATATTTCGAACATAACATCTGGTTTTAATATTAAGGTATGTATAATATATTGATTATATAAGGTAATAAAATAATTAATAATGTATTTTCTTTCAAGATGCAAATGAATGCTGCAGTGACATCAACGAACAATAATAAAACAGCAAACTGTAAAATCTCAACCACTACGATTAAGCAAAATGTAAAATTTCAATGCAGAGCAGGTGAATTTTACAACGTCCTCTCTTCGATCGAGGTAATAATTTTACCGGATTATTGTCTCAATATAAATGCTATTAATATAAACTAAGCCACTAGCCAACTTATAACAGAGTTTTTAATTTTCACAGATGGTACAAGCATTTACGAAGAATCCGGTAAAACTAGAGCCAAAGAAGAATGGTCAATTCGAGCTATTCGGTGGCAATATTCACGGCGAATTCATAGAGATCACTCCAACGAAAATTATCCAAAAATGGCGTTGTAAACAGTGGCCGTCTGGACATTTCAGCGATGTAACGATCGATATCTGTGAGAAGAACGATCATACTGAGGTCAATTTAACGCAGAGCGGTGTCCCAGTGAGGTAAGCTCGAGAACAATGACTTCTTATTAAAATTTATCGGTATTATTGGCAAGTAAGATCGTCATGCGGAAACGTCGTGATTTTCAGCGAGGAGCTCTCTACGAAGGAGAATTGGGACAGGTATTACTGGGATGCTATAAAACGAACTTTCGGCTTCGGATACTTCATGTGATCTAAATTCACTCTAATGGATATTTATTTATTGCTAAGTAGAACAATCGTACAGATTGCGTGCATTTACACGCAGTCGCGCGAGCGCTTGACTTCTGCGGGAGCATAGATGAATTCTATGGTGCGATGGGAAGGAAGCGTATACTATACAGGTTTACTCTGTTCTCTTCGTATATTTGGTACCGCCTTGTGTAAAACTATAAATTAATACCGCTATGCGCTCGTTATATTGCCGTGTGACGTTACAAGTGACTTGTATGTCTCTATCTATTAGATGTGTCTGTCTAATAAATCATGAGATAAAGATCAATGAGATTTCAATCTGTTCTTTCCGTATGAGAATGACCGTTGTATCAAACTTTATTCCTTTAAATCATAATCGATACACAACTTCGAGTCAATTGTCAAATAAATATTTTGCAATTGCTGTAAACTCTGTGTATGTCTTAATTGAAAAAGAACTTATAACGTAATCAGTCTTCTCATGAAAAGAACGGACATTTTTTTATACATAATAAAAAGTGATAATCATTTTTCATTGTTCGAATGCTAACATCACATTATATATTTGACTAATAAATCAAATTTCGAACGCAGTCGCGCTCGCGTTCATAAACAAGTTGTAACGCCTTTAAATCCTACAGCTGCACCCGCCGGTGCACCGAAATGTTCCCCTTTTCGCACGAAGACAGGACCAATGTCCTCGGCAGCTAGGCAGACGGGAGCGGCATGAATGGGCAGATCCAGAGAGTACGAAATGCGCGCGCCTTCGAAAATCAAAATCAATGTAGTTCACCGTCGTTCGCACTGGTCCCGCTCGCTCGCTCGCTCGCTTGCTTGCTTGCTCGCGGATTGCCCACGCCCTTAGTGCGCCTCGCGGTCCCAACGCGAATGTTATCGGAGTATAGCGCCGTTTGTCGTTTCCTTCTCTCTGTTTCTCTCGCGTTTCCCATCTCCGTCGCTCATAACTGCACAAGCGCATGTCGAGATGCATATATACACGCGCACTAACTTGTCGCCCCCCTTTTTCCGAGCTTCCCCTCCTATATTTCTAATCTTGCTCTTTTCCTCTTTCAAGCCTCTCTTCCAAACAACCTTTTCTTCGTTCTTCCAATCACTTCTCTCCTCGCTTTCTCTCATCTCATCTCGATCTTCTCTCCCTCGCTCGCATTCCTTGACCAAGTCAGTTGAATAATTTGAGTGAGAGAGAGAGGGGGGGGGGGGGGGGGGGGAAGGAGGAAAGAGAGGGAGGAGAAAGCGGGGGTTAAATTACCTCCCTTGTCGGAGGAGCGCTCTCTCTACCACCAACATCACCACCACTATCATCACCACTACCATCACAGTCAGTCTTTACTCCGATCTCGCGCCAGCACCATCGGCTAGCTCGCGACTTACGCGTGCAGCATCCCTCCGTGTTGAACGCTCCTCTTACGCGCGCCCTCTCTCTCTCTCCCTCCCCATCTCTCTCCCCTTATCTGTGTCCTCACGCCTTATCCCTTTCTCTCTCTCTCTCTCTCTC